AAAAAATAGTGAGAAATACAAACAAATTTTTTATTATGAAAGTTATCAAGAGCAAGTAAGATTTAGATGGTGTGTGCGCTGGGAAGAGGCCCCGGGGAAGACCCAGGACACGCTGGAGGGACTATGTCTCTCAGCTGGCCTGGGAACGCCTTGGGGTCCCCCCGGACGAGCTGGAGGAAGTGTGTGTGGATAGGGAAGTGTGGGTGTCTCTGCTTAGACTGCTGCCCCCGCGACCCGGCAACGGATGAAGCGGAAGAAAATGGATGGATGGATAGATTTAGATGGTTTTGTTAACAAGTATTTTCGTTATTTAATTTTTTAAGAAAAAAAAAAAACTTTAGGAAGACAAATGAAATAACATCAATACACACTGGAAACCGGACGCTTATGTACACAAGATTTTTTTTTAAACGCATGATTTTAAAATTAAACTTGAGACTTTGTAGAAAATAACGTAATCATTGAGAAAATTATAAAAAAAAATCATTATTATATTTATGTTGTATTTTAAGTCAAACTCATTCACTGTAAATATACGTGGTTATATTTACAAATTTGAATCGAAAACCAAAAGTTACATTGTAGTAGAGGTCTTTCAAGGTGTCATTGTATCATTTCACACTTTCCTTTTTGAGTTATTGCGAGTTAACATTTCAACTCTGACAATTCTCATGTCTTATGGCATGGTTTTTATTTTCCCACTTCTCTCAACTTGTCCCTGTCTAAATCGCTCCATCTATTCACAGCCTGACACCGGGCTCAGTCACAGGGCCACGGAGACGAGTCGCATCGTGCCCATCGTGTCCCCAGGAGCGTGACGTTAACCACTTCTGCCTTGATTCCTCTCGCCGCTGCTCTGTTATGAGGGGCTGGCAGAGGAAGGCCGCGACAGGGTGATGAAAGACCTAAAGCGGGTTAGCGGGATGGATGATGAGAGCGGAGACACCCTGCTCCTTCCTCCGATACCACAGTTCACTCCACCTGTCCGTTCAAGAATGATTAAACCGAGGGCTAATAAGTTTGTCTTATTCTGTCATTTTCGCTGTCAGTTCAGCCAATTCTTGAGTATGTTTACATGCAGAGGTACCAGCCTGTGCTCAAAGCCCAATAGATCAGAAAAATAGTTAAATGCATGAAAGCTAATGCTCTTTTTTGTGCTTTTATAAATATAAATATATTTATATTTATTTTCTGTTGTGGACACTCAAAACCTCATTGTTTTTACTTCTTTGTAATGCAGTATTACATAACAACGGTGTATACGGCATAGCACAAAGCAGCTGTAGAATTTCCAATAATATTTCTTTGTTGGGATTACTAGTGCATTGCCAACTGGTTCTCAAAGCACAAGTTCCTGAAATTAATTACTTTTGAGTACCGCTACTGGCTTCATAATGCAGGTCGTAGTAAGGGACTCATTTGACTCGATGCATTCATAATTTCTCCACATCTCTATCATACTAAAAAAACAAGTTCACATCTCACAATATAATGGTTCAGATAGACTCTAAAATGGTATATATTTGGCCATTACTCATAAGTTCCACTGAAACAGTCGGAGCAAAAGTGCCTTCGGTTGTCTGGCAAAAGAGGTGGGAAGGGGGAAGTGAGTTTCTATTTTAAGGGACTGGTGCTTGCCCACGGTGAATGCTACAAGTTTTGGGTATTGTCATGTCCTCATTTGTACATGTTAGCTGCCATCTCAACTTGCAAATGGTTTGGCACTATTTGCATGTTGACTCAGCTGAATGCTTACATAATGTCGTGGACTTCTAGGAAAACTTTTAATTCAATTCGCCCCAAAAATGTTCCTCACTTTGAGATATTTCGAGCCCCACAATGGAAACTAATTTAAAAAGTTGTATGAAGTTTTTGATAATCTTGATGAAAGATAAGCTGTTGGAAGTGAATAGATGGACAACAGGAGATAATCTCTTTGTGGCCACTGTTTACAATTTGCGAAATAATGTTGTAGAACAATTAGTGACTGGGAGAATGCACACTCCATTTGCTTGTGTGAAGCTTGGTCTCATTCAATGATTTCGGTCAATTTTATATACAAGCTGCACATGGTTTTTTCACTTCAAGTTTTAAGCTGGGATTGGTTTGTTTTGATGGGGTACAGGTAAAGCAGTACAATGAATACAGTTTTTTTTTTTATTTTTCAATAATCAACAACTGTTTTAATATTTGATTCATCGTAAACTGCTCTATATATAAATTTCAAAATGTTTGCTGAGAGATGTGAGTTAGGGTCAGGCAATATAATATCATATCCGTGCTCTTAACAAATATTTGATTTTGAATAGTAGCTGGATTCATCTATCTAGTGCAATTTTCATTTGTGTCTTGTTTCTTCATGTGGTGAAGCGCCTCTCTAGTATAGGTTGTTTTGGACAAAATATTTTACAGTAATAAGATTATGCATCTGTTGCTTTTATTATTTCCTAGTGCTGTGGCCCATGTTTGGCCATTAAAAATGCAACGGGGTAAACGCTGGGTCATGCAATCAGTTGAACGAGAACTCCGGCTCGATTTGAAATGGAATCTGTTCCATTACACTTCACTTAAAAGCCCGACATTTTTCACAAAGCACTTTGAAATTACGTTTGCGGGTGCAACCGTATGAAAAATTCATCGGCACATTTATTTTAGTTCATTTGCTAAACTTTAATTAAGCATGCCCCACTGGGAGTTATGCTGTATTGCAAATCATTTCATCAAAAGCGTGCATATGTTTAGTGTGTGTTCTTTAGCCCTGTTTGCTACCTGCAAGCTGCTGGTGTGACGTTTCACTCCGAGTTAAAGGTCCCTTGTTACGTGGGGCTGCGGGCGGCTGGAGACGTATCGTTCCCAGCCTTGTTTGTCTCTGATGGAGAAAGAGAGAGGGCACTAGACAGAAACTCGAGACACTCCCGCTGCAGGCCTGTTTGTTTCCTGTTCGCGCACATTATCACATTTCAAGAGGGACAAGGACCGGGCATCGTGGGGGACTGGCATTCTTCTCTAGTGCCCTGTTAATGGAATTGGGAAATGGTGTATTTCTTTCAGCTACTAAGAGTTTAATTTGCATTTTTTAAAGAGAATAATAGTGTTTGGGCGAGCATTGTAAGCAATAGGAAAACAATGTTTGTTCTGAAAAGGTGCGTGAAGTCCCAATCATTTCTCATAAACATTGAGACAGTTTTTCATTTTATTTTTTATGAACCTGCATGGATAACTGATTGGGTGACTTAGCAGACTAATCGGTGTACTAGTTTTTTTTTTTCCTTTACCTTTATTTGTAACTTTACTTTGGCAAGGACAGTACATCCAGTAAACATGTATTGAATGTTTAAGCTAAAATTCTTGATTAGATATTTTTAAGTTAAGTTTCTGTCAACCCTTCTGTCTCATCCGACTGACAGGGGTGGCTTGTACTGACAGTACTTTACTTTTAACTTTCAAACCCTACAAGGACTTCTGCCACCTGTTGCCGACTGACACGAACACCACACAAGTCTTCAGAAACATGAGAAAATGTCATCACAACATACTGTACACTTGACTCTCCCCCATAAAGGCCTGTTTTGTAGCATTCCGTTCTAATAGATAAGAGCAGGGGAGTTCTACTGCTCTCGCCTGCATCATTTTAAACTAACATTTGATGGAAATGATTGTCCTCGTTCCTCATTCTTTAGATACCTTTGCATAATTGCCCAAATGCTGCACTTTGTCTGGGCTATGTATTTTGTCAATTTGTCCAAAGGAAAATGTCAGGAATTATTTTATTTTCATGCAAAGTAACAGAAATAGAGGGGTTTTTAGAGTGACTACAGTTGGCTTGAATGTGAAGATGATGTAGATAAACTTCTTGGGGACCTTTTTATGTATACTGTTGTTGTAGTTCAACCTACTGTAGTTTGTCAGATTTAGAATATATTCACAGAAACAAAACCCACTATCTGACCTCTGATTGTCCACATGCACAGTTCCTATATTTATTATTTGTATATTTTTGCTATGCTGCTCAATGACCCTGAAGTAATGTAGTCAATTACAAGTTTAACAGTGACACAATGGGAGGTGACATGGGAGATAAAGGGAGGTCACCGTTTTGTCAACTCAACAAGAGGAAGTCTTCTGGTACATGAAGTCTGTGCATTCCGCCACAAGAGCAAGCGAAGCAAAGTCAGGTTCACAAACAAGAAGCGGGTCTGTAACCGCGAGGCATCTCCTGTTGTCAAGTGGGCAGCGAGACCAAGCCATCTGTCTAACTTTTAAGGTGAAGAGGAGACTTTGATTTTGTCCACGCAGGCTACAAACTTTCTCATCCTTGTGCCAAGAACTATTCATAATCCCAGCGCTGCCCAAGGCGTTCCACTTTTTATGAGCTCTGCACTATTTTATTACCTTGTTTTAGCCGTAAAAAGGAGCGACATGGCCAGGCTGTGTTATAAAGCTCGATTTTCCATTTGCCTCCAAGTGTGTAAGGCAAGTTTCTCGCTTGATCCCTTTGACTGACGGCAAAATAACTGCAGACACTTTCTTTATACATTTATTTATTACATCCTCGTGAGCACCTTCTAAATACTGGCTCAGGCGAGTTGTTCCACTTTCCACCGTCCGTTCCCCCTGGCTGTAAGCTATCATAACTGCTTTGAAGGGGGGGGGGGGGCAGCAGTGCGTTTAATTGGGTTACAGATTGGCATAAATCTGCTGAGGTTCACAAGATACCTTAAAGGCGCTTGACAAACTACTTGAAAACACAGGAAAACGGTTCTTCTCGATTCATCTGTTGACTGGAAACCCACTTCGCAGTAGTGTTCTTACCGCTGATCATTTTGCGTCTGCGTTGTTTATGGTAAAAACAGGAATTCCAACTAATAATAAGTGCATATGTCACAGCGCCATTTGTACGCACCATCTGTTGAGCTCCACAACAAGGTTCACATTACGTCATCTCTGTAATGATTGATCTATCTCTCACCACAATCTCTCTCTGTTCGTTTCTTCTACAGAGTCAGTGCCATGCAGCGTTAAACAGAAGTGATCCAAGCTGAACTGACTGGTATTGAAGCCCGTCTTGCACCCCGGGCCACCCCTCCCTGTCCGCAATGGAGCTCAAAGTGTGGGTGGACGGAGTGGTGCGGGTGGTGTGTGGCCTGTCCGAGGAGACGTCCTGTCAGGATGTGGTCATAGCTCTGGCCCAAGCTATCGGTAGGTTAAATGGAGGGGAAAAAGGTTCTGTCAACTGCTCTCCTTTGTCTCCCCCCCTGTCCTTTATACAGTTCAATTTCTGTACAGGTATAATCACAAATAACTAATGTCTGCAATTTACTAACTAGCTTTCAAACCCGCACAAAAATTAAGTATTTAACAAAATCCATGAGTCTTAACCCTTATAGCGCTTAAGTACTAGTTTTCTGTGTGTGTTTTTGGCCTCTGTCACATCTTTAGATCAACTTCAGACAGAAAAGTGAAAAAGAGTGGACCACCCTCACTTTGCCAATCAGTTCTCAACCCAAAGTGTCAAAAAGTCAAACATAAAATCATTTTTACATTATTATACTCCTGAATCAAAACTTGTTTGAATTGTGAGGGTCAGTCAGGCGTCTGTTTACCACTGGAGCATTGAACAATACTACGCCACATTTAGAACTATCCTTCTTCCGTGTGTGAGCAGCTCTTGCCAAGTCATGAGGGAGAGCTTGTCCTAATTTCAGAGTCCTTGTGGAAAGTACAGTTTATTAGAACATTTTTACACATTAAGCAATGTCTTCTGCATTTTTATCTTGGTCTCATATATCAGCATCATCATAATGCGCCTGCCATGAGTTTGTCAGTTTTCTGCAATACCTTCTCCTGTACTGTAAATGTAACTTCTATTTTTGTTTATCCATTGTCCTGTTTGTTGACAGGTCAAACGGGCCGTTATGTTCTCATCCAGCGTCTGAGGGACACAGAGCGGCAGCTGCTGGCCACAGAGAAACCCTTGCAGTCTTTGGCCAAGCTGGGGCAACATGGAAGTGAAGTTCAGTTCTTCTTAAGGCGCACTGGCAACAGCACCAGTGATGGACCTAACCCAAGTCAGGACAGACAAACTCCTCTGCCCAGGCAATGGGAACCAGAGCCTTTGAAACGCAATCAGCCCAAGAAATCTCTCACGTTTAATCTAGGGCCAACAACATCTTCCACATCTCCAAAAACCAAGGCCAACCAGCTTAAAAGGTCTCCACGAGACTCTCCTGAACAGAGGGCCTCTCCTACACCCTCCTCACCCTCTCCTCCTGTGGGCCCGTCTAAAGAGGAGGTCTTTCGGAGGGTTCTTCAGCAGCAGGAGAGACTGAGGGCCATGGAGGCTCAGTTGGAGGCTCTAGAGAGGGAGACTCACTCATGTGATCGGTCCTACCCCTCTCCGTGCCCTTCCCCTGTATCAGACACCCGTGTCCAGGAGGAGATGGACCATCTGGAGCAGGTGATGCGCAGGAACCAAGCAGAGTTGGCTCATGAACAGTACTGGGAGGACGAGCTCCAGGCTGAAGTGGACCGGGAGAAGGGCATGAGGAGGAAGCTGGGGGAGCTACACTCTAAACTGGACGACTGTGGCAGACGACTCCATGACTTTTCAGTGCGCTCTGATCAGCTAGAGCAGGAGATACAGAGAGAGAGCCAGCTCCAGGCAAACTCAAACTCACCAGAGGACTCCCTGGATGCTGTGAAAGCAGAGCTGCTCGGCCAGGACAGACAGGGCTCTGAGCTGGAGGAACACTTGTCTGAGACTGACAAGGCGCTGGGGAAGGCAGAGTCTCTGCTGCAGGTAAGAGGAGAGGTGACTGAGAAAGGACTGTAAAGACTTGTACAGCACTGACCCTCTTCCACACCCGCACTACACCCTCTCCTCCTTATGTCTTGCAGCAGACTCACTACACTAGAGACTTACAGTTTGTTGATTTTGTAAACACGTTTTTTTCTATGTATGAACTAAATATCTAGCATTTTATGTTATTTTGTAAAATTACAATTTATAGCAAAAGAACAAAGTCTTACTGACATCACTGCCCTCATTAATGCCAACTCATGGCGTCATTGCTTGTTTACTCTTGGTGGTTGTTAAATATGTGGCTGTATCAATAAAAGCCTAACCCAGTCAAAACGTCAGCTTTCCTCATCATCTATTCAGTTTTTATTCATAAACGTTTCATTTTTCACTAGATCGTCATTCAAAATCAAATTAGTAGCGAAGGTAATAAAACTATAATATAATGGTCCCATTAACTAGTTATATGTCGCTCTTATAGAGATGGGTTTCTTATAAGTGAAGGGATTTATAGCACTTGGAAGGGCTAAGGGAGGCCCTATGTTATAGTCAGAGACTTATTGCTTTTGACTATAACATTAAGCCAGCTTCAGTACAAAGATATGATTGTCATTCACAACCACATGCCATAACATGCACCTGTGAGGGATTTATCACACAGCAGTTAAAACCACAAAGATGTCGCCACAAAGACAGTTTTTGCCTGCAGGGTTAAGGCACTGTTGTTTCCATAAACGGCAAGGAGACAGTACAATTGGGCCTGAAATGGGCCGGTTCCTCACTGGTCCTCTGTGCGGATGTGTGTAGGTGGTGACAGGCTGTTTAAGTGAGGGCTGATGAGAGCAGCTTTCCTGTCATTAGGCTAATGGAGGTAGACTCGCAGGTGTGAAGCGCCTCAGCAGCCTGTCAGAGTCCAATACTAATTATACACGTACACTGGCTGAGGCTACAGTGGCCCGACACATTGATTCAACCCAAATGGATAGGCAGTTAAGACTGATTGACTGGCTTGTTTGTTTAATCTGCTCATGTGATTGTGGCGCCTCTTCCTCTGCAGGGGATTCTTAGAGACCAAATTTCCAATAATGGGTTCTGATGAATTGTATGTCCTCAGGGAGTTGTTTATTTTATTGAATGATGAGGACATCAAAGCAAACTGGGTTGTACATGATTCTTAAGTTGAGAAAATGCTGAAATCAGATGACTGGGATGGTGGGATGGGCTGAAACAGAGGGGAATCAATTTTGGGATTGTTCTGTTTGTATTTACTGCCCCCCTGTGGTCAGAGAGTGCATGGTCTTCAGTTCATCAACACTGTCCAGTAACACTGTTCACAGAGGTGGATATCACACTCAGAATTCTAAACAGGAAAGTGAATGATTGCAGAAGGAAAAAAAGTACATCTTAAACTTTAACAATAGTAAGTATTTGTGACTTTTTAATTTATATTCTAATACTGCAACTACTGCTTCCGCCACATCTACATTCACTACTATGACTGCTTTACTACTGGGACTTCTGCTTTTCATCTCCATATTGCTCTAATAGCAGCATCCCTATCTTTTCATTTTACACACATTTTACACTTTGCCTCTTTCTTTGTCAAAATGTGTAACTTGAAACATAATATAGCACTTTTACCATGTGCTAATGAGGCTTACTTCAACAGCAGATGATAGATTCTGCAAGAGTGACACGTGGGATATGTGCGTATGTCCTACAGGTCAAGCAGGACGAGTTGGAGGACCTGAATAAAGAACTGCGGCAGTGTAACTTGCAACAGTTCATTCAGCAAACGGGTGTCCTTCCTGCACATTCTCAATCACGTAGCGAACTGGAACAACTCGAACTGGCACAGCTGCTTCAGGAGGCACAGAGGAACGCAAGTATGGACCCACATCAACACAACTCATACAGCCATAATATATTTTGTTAATTAGTGTTTCAATATGTAGCACAACCCAGAAATGGATTAAAGGGTAGAAAATGGATGGATGGAATATGTTGCACGACACATTTATTTTCTGCTAGTCTTGTGGTGGTTAATTATATACCATAATCCCCAAATGAGTAATTATGACAGTTAACGATTTTTTTCATCCTAAGCCTGTCAGTTTCATTTTGATATTTTAACATTCAAGTCTATATCAGGGGTGCCCAAAGTTTTTCAATCGGCTATTGTCATGACGAGGGTCAACATGTTGCGTCAAAACTTGTAATGCGAAACTTGAAATGCAAATAATGTAGACAATTCAAACCAATATATGCCATGGACTCGTTTGCGTGCTTATTTTGATGGTTGTGGCTCTCAGTCCATGTTCAGAATATTCAAATTTTCTGAACTTTTTGGGGGAGGTTCTACAACCTGTGGGCCATTTCTCAACATTATAACAAATAAAAAATTTTGTTCAAAATCATATTTCTCTTGTTGCTTGCAATGAGTCTGTATATTAGTTCACATTTTAACAATCTTTCATTTTCCAAGTTTCACCTGTATGATTTAAATAGTCCTCAATTACCGGTTATGTGCAAATCCCACCATGAAATAGTGTGGTCCTTGAGCCGAAATTGATAAATAATTGAATAACTAATATTTCTGTCACTGTAATAATCCTATGTCTCTTCCCGCTCAGGCCGAAGTCACACGCCTTTAGAATCCCCGCCTCGCCCCACCGCCAAACAGTTCCTGGGCCACCCTCGAAACCTGCAGAACCCTCTCGTGTCCAGCCTGAATCCGGAGGGTGTGTATGTGTGAGCCCCCCCCAGGCCCTGCCCACCCCAGGACCCTCTCCACACCCCACGTTCTCTCCCACTATTCCCTGGTGTTGGTTGCCTGACTTTGGTGTTTGGTGGAGGTCCTTACTGCTGCTCCGGCTCTGTATCATTCAAAGCTAACACTCCCGCTGTCTCATGTCTCTGGACGTTTTTTTTTTTTTTTTTTTTTTACAGCCGTTTAATCTGTGGAGTTGAAATTCCTTGTTTTGAATATTTCTCTCTACTTCAACCCTATCTCACCTTTTGATGTGCTGGACTAACAGCTGCTGCTTTTCATTTCTACATTCTCTCTCTTGAATAATTCAGAGCTCTATTCTGAATCTAGTACATGCGTTTTCTGTTTTATGGATTTATTCACACAGAGAATGACTGTAGCTGACTTTCTGATTGTACTGGGATATTGTTTGATACTGTGACGCAAGAAGAAACCAGACCAATGTCATTTAATTTTGCCTTTTTAAGTATGGATACAGTTTATATCAAAGAGGTGTGTCTATACAATGCCTTGTACTTTGGTGACACTTGACTTCCAAAGAGCAAAAGCCTGTCTGTGGGGGCTCTGCAAAACGTACTATTGCACTCTCCTAGTATTCAACTGTGTCAGACCATGGCTCTTGTCTGCCTGCACACACATGTATATATTATAGCTCCATGTGCTAATATGTATAATCTTTCATAGTATATTTTTATACACCCTTTAAAATAAAACGTAAATTTTGTGCGAATGCGGCAAGACCATGGTGTGAAAGTAACTATATACAATTTCAATAATGTTTTTTCATGAAATATTTCACCTGATACTTACCAAAGTTCAGAAAACGGACATATGTTTTTTTTTTATGTTGCTCAAACTGTTACATCCTTTTCTACACTATGTGATGCCAAACTTAAAAATGTGAAGTTTTTTATCAATTGCTTTATCTTGATGGATGACCAATTTCCTTATACAGTTGTGCTTGAAAGTGTCTTGGTCATATTTTGGAGATTATGAATGATAAAACAAATTTCCCCCTCCCCTCATCCTTGTGTGAAGCCATGCAATGTCAAATAAACTTGTCTTTTGTTTTCCAATGGAGCCAATTTTTTGGAGATCTCAAATGCGCAGTTCATTCCAGGCGGCTCAGGAATTTACAGCCAAGAAGAATGGGCAGCTTTACTATAGAGGATGAAGAAAAACCAATGTCATAGATGATAAAGAATTGGCTCCTTCAAACTAACAGGCTTCACACAAACACTTGGCAATGAGCAAACAAACACATTATCATTCACGATCTGAAACATGGTCAAACAAATCTTAATCTATACCTGAGTGTAAACTCTCCAGCACAACTTTGTATCTATACTGTACATAATACCTGGACTTAATTAAATATCATTCTGTTTTGAGATGAAGCGATTGAACAAAAACTATCCTTTCTGTACTGACTGTCTAAGGAATACTTGAGCATGTGAATTTTCCCTACATGGCTTACATGGTGTGCTTTTTGTACTTACTTTGGGGTCTATTGATATTTCAGTGCTTCCTGTAGGGCAGGAGTCTCCAACCTTGAGCTACTTTTCACGACCAAAATGGCAAAATAATTCCTTTTTTTTTTTAAAACGACAATATACCTTTTGATTGTTTTATCTCACTGTCAGCAATATATTATCCCTTCTTTAGCACGCAAAGTTAAAGTAGCAATATGTAAGATTTTTATATCAATTCATCATTAAATTGCCCTAATCCAACAAAAGACATTAATAAACCATGCTCTTTTCAAATACTTCTTTAACAGGAGTTCAGGCGAGATATTTGAATCTCAAAATTAGGTTTACAGCCCCTAAATCTTGTTATTGTTTTCATTTCTATGTACCGCCCTCCACTGTTTCACCAATCAGAAAGTCTGCGATCTGGGTTGCCAGAATTCACCGCCTCCAGCTAATCTCACTGGCCGCATTACGAAAAAAAAGTCTTGTGATGATTCTCAAATCATTAATGACAAAACATGGAATAAAACGAGGATTTCTATTGGGGCCTTTGGTTATAGATTTGTTGTTGACAAAACTCTTGTCTATATTTAGATATTATGATCCCAGCTGGATTCGTCTGCATATCTAGCAACCTGAGGCAGGGAGAGTGCAGTATCTTTTTTTGATTAGATTTTGTACATACTGCTCCTTTAAATATTCCCAATAGTTGTAAGTATAGGAAACATATTATTTGAATTATTGAGGACTCTATTTGAAAAGTCTACATCATCTTGGGGGAGTTTCTTACTACTGGTGGCTCCTGAGCTTTAGGTTGGAGACCCCTGCTGTAGAGACTTTGGTACAAGACTTTACCTGGTCCTGTGTGCGCTTCTGATTGGCCGGCATGGTGTGGATACGGGCCACTCCCCGTTGTTTCTGTGTGAAATGTTGTCCAAATCCATGGGAGCCTCATCCCCACTCATCTCTGTGTGTCTTACAGTCATCACATCTCGAGAAGCGTCTTGGAGCTAAATCTCGGAGCACGTGGCCAAGGGAAAACTTTAAAGAGTCACCACTTAATCAGTGTCATGTAGTCTGTATGAATAATATGTAAATAAGACAAATATATTTACAGTTTTGATACTGTATACCAATATGTACTTGTATTAAATGTAAAATAATCCAGACTTTTACTTACTAAAAATATTCATGTATTTAATAAACTGTACGTTGTGTTTAAATGGTCTGACTTTTTTTTTTTAAACACATTTTGTCACACATACACAACTCTATTCTTTGTTCTTATTTTTAGATTGTGTTATTCTTGGACAATGACAAAGTTTCTTATACATAATGCACTTTCACACATTTTCACTGAAGGGGAAGAAATGGGAAAACCACGCTGCCACCTTGTTCCCCGGCTTACAACATAAATTATTGAAATGACATTGTACATTTCCGTTACACCGGATTCATGTTTTATAAATGTTATGGAAATGTTCATGGTCTTTATAACTGAGCTCTACCATGAGGTCTGTGGAGGAGGTGTGATAAGAGGGTAAAATGTGCAGTGCAGGGGGCTGAAGGAAAATGTGGTCACGATGGAATGAAAGATGCCGTGGAAATTCTTGCCTCGCCTCTGCTTGTGTTTATGTCTAATGAATCAACAGTAAATCAACAGGACATTTATCAGCAGCAGAAGGGTCCAGCTTAGAGACCATTTTCACATATGTCTTTGTAATGATGCTACAGAGTCTGTCATTTGTTATTTTATTCTCGTACTTTTCACATATATGCCTCTTGAGTTCATCTTCTGTCACGCTGTTTTTAGTACGGGCACTTTCACACTTGTTGGTCTGCTTCACTTAAATCTGGGGTACCTAACTTTCAAACCATTTCATTTTATTTCCCAGGTTCATACACGATTCAGTTGTTTGACAAAAATACATATACATTTTTCTTGTCACCCCTATAGAGACTTGAAATGGAGCGGGAAAAAGACCATACATCTTAAATGGTTTGTTTCTGAGACCAAAAAGTTAAAATGGAAAGGACCACCCTCACTCAGCCAATCAGCACCCAGCCCAAAGTGCCAAATAGTGACTCAAATGGCTCCTTCTTACAAGTGGATAAAACATGTAACATGTTTTCTAAATAAAAACAAGAAATCCCATTGTAGTCATATTTGGGTTTTTAATAAGGTTTATTTATATACCGCCTTTCACAGACCAGAGTCAAAAAGCGGTTTACAATTGTTATTTTTGGGCATTTGTCCTCTCACTCCACACAAGAGATGGGAGCGGGCTTTTTGAAACTATATTTTACTTTTACATGACTTTATTTTGGTATAAACATAATTTATAACCACTTGTTCGGTGGTTTCACATCCACATGTTTCCCTAAAGTGAACCAGACAAACCAGTGAGAAAGTGACTGGAAAGAGAAAGTGACTAAAAAGCCAAAACCAGTTTTCCTAAAATGCATGAAACATACTGTATAGTAAAAAAAGGAGGAAGAAGGAAATTTCTTCATTTTATTCAACGTGGCAATGTACAATTATGATATAATGATGTAAACATATCCAGAAGACTTCGAGACAGCAAATATGAAATTGCTATTCAGACTATTAAAACAAAACATGATTTATACAATGCATGGTAAACGGTTGTTTATTACAAAGTTTCCGATAATACATTGGGGGAGGAAATACAATCTTTTTCGCAGAGCAACCCTAATGATGAGCAGTAATGATTTGTTTTGTTCTGCCCTGCCAACTGTGAAACCCAAACAACAGGGTTGAATGGGCACACAAATGTACCGCTCTGGCTTCCCTGCACAGTGCACGTCCTCCTGCATTTACGTTTACCCCTCCTGGTCAAACGAGCCGCCCATCATAAGTGTCATGCCCTCCTGGCCCAAGTCTGTCCTTCTCTTCCTGTCTGGTCCAAAATATACTTAGAAACAATCCTCGTGATTGTGTTATGTGTGGCTCTCTTTCGTTGAACTTTTCACCTCGAATGTGAGTGACTGTTGATTAACTTTGTACAATTGGATTACATTAGAGTAGATTTAGTCTTGTCTGGCTTGGCAAGGATTAGATAAGCTTCAAGATTGTTGTTTAGATGTCTGGGACACTGCCTATTCAATAGCGACACCTGTCTTTCAAACACAAGTATTGCTACTACATAGCATTTTGGGTGTCATACTAATATCAGCGTGTGACAAATGAGAAAAAAATATGAAATAGATTAATATCATCAAATAGATACTATTTGATAGATTTACAAATGTATGTTTTTGGTCAAAACTATAATGCATAAACCTTTTTTGTGTGACCTCATGAGTTGGAAATGAACACACACAGATACTTCACACAGGCCTACATTTGGCACTATGTGTGACCCTGAGTGACTAATGAGTTTCATAGCTGACTCAAAAGGAAACATTGCAAGTTAAGTACAACCACTAAGGTCTGCTGTAGGCTCACTTCCTGGATGATTATATATATATATATATATATATATATATATATATATATGTATGTATATAAACACACAATAGCTAAATTGTAATGTTAAACCAAATGTCTAATGTAAGTAAAAGAGAAAATAACGTTACAGTAGATGACATTGGATTGACATATGATCCAAAAGGAACCATGTCATAAGGCGCTGGCCCTATAAGTACAGTATGTGCACATCGGAAGTAGACTACAGTTCACTGGAAGACCACTGGGAGGGAAATCATCTTGGAACAGGCCTGTCCCGGCTGCAACATGCACAGGGCATGAGTTCACGTGGGCTACAGTAGCAGCTACTGTAGTGTCTGCTTTTCGGACGTGGTGTTCCCAAAACCAGGTTAGCCGCTGTCACACGCACAGTGGAACTGGATATTTGCACAATGTGCGTTAGTCAGTGGCTTACCTGCTTTTAGATCACAGCCAGGACAGGCTGGGATATAACAATGAAAGCGCACTA